ATTATAGTAATAATTATAGTATTATTATGTACTATAGTAATAACTATAACATTATTATGTATTATAGTAACGAATAATAATAATGATAATAATACTTATAATATTATTATGTATAAATTAAATTGACTGTGAAAAACATGCGAGACATTTACAATTATCGATTAGAAAAGGATCAATTAATAAATCGTTTACAATTACTTATTACTTCGTTAAATTAATCAATTAAATATTTATCTTGTTCAAACATTTTTCACGCTGATCTTTATAATGTAAACTAAGCTTTTTGTAACTCTATACTAATTCATTCGAATGATCTTTCGAGAAACGTTCAAATATATTTAGCAATTGTTAAGATTTTCGTGCGACAATTGTTCCTTAAAATTATGCAATTAAAATACGGATTTTCATCGCGAGCAGAAAATGATAGCCTTGATCTTTGAGCTCGGAATTCTCGCGTTCAACATCTGCCTGATCCGGTGTTTATACACGAAAAGAGAACGTAAACTGAATCATTGCTTATAGATCCTCAAGTGTTATAATTAGCAAAATGGTTCAACTTATTGTTCAAGCTACATCTTCACTTGTTTCACAGCGAATTCCATCTCGAAAACCCGTACGAGTTCGGCATCGATTTCACGCGATCGCCTCTGGCACGTCCTCTTCGATTATCTAATAATCGAAGCTTCGTTTAATTACATCATTTCTGCGGCGAAAATGTCCAACGATATAACTGAACGCTGGATCTTTGCTTTTGTGGTGTTTACGCAATTTTAAATAATAAAAAATATTCACGTTAAAATTGAATAAATCGTTACATAAAAATTAGCGACATTTCTACCGTATTTTTAGCTTCAAGAATTTTCCAGTTGGAAATTTTCCGTTCCATTCTCGTAAAATAATTTATGGAAATTGATTGGAAAGATCCTTAATGATCCTTAAAGATGCTCTTGACAAATCCAATAATTATTTATTTAATATATGCAACCGATCATGTACTCAAGAAATAGTTTCTGCAATGTTACCGTCGAATGGCTAAATAGTTTATTAAAAAGCGATCAATGTTTAATAAACGAAAGTAACGTAAGTGACTTTTATTCACGTTTATTATTCATACTAATCGTCTCTTCTCACTTTATTGCATCCATTATAATTCCACGCGAAAACCGTCCAGATACTATTTTCTAAAATATTGTTAATTGGTAAATAAAATAGTGATAATTGCAGCAGGTACATCGAAATGAAACGAACGCCGTTAGTATAGCTAAATTAGCAGCATCTTAGCGGCCGGACTAACTCGCTAGGCGTGGCAGTTTCGCGCGCGTATTATCGAGGATATTTTTAAATCGCAACATGTTCGCCGATAGTCAGCGAGGAACCGACGATCATTCGAGCACTATGACTACAAGATAAATACCCAAATAACAATACTACCGGACGAATGTAAACCTAGTCCTCGTCTTTACGAGAGTACCTCGTAAACTGTGCTCGCATCAAAGTTGTTAAGTAACAATAACAAATAATAATCTGTCGAAACTGTAACCGATCTGCTGGCAACCAAAATGCAATTATTATCATGCAGTTATTATAATGCAGTTATTATTATGCAGTTATTATTATTATACAGTTATTATTATTCAGTTATATTATTACGCAGTTATTATTATACAGTTATTATAATGCAGTTATATTATTATACAGTTATTATTATCCAGTTATTATAATGCAATTATGCATAATAATGCAGTTATTAGTAGACCGCGGATTTTCGTGCAAAAGAGAAATTACTTTTAACTAATTATAAGGAAACGAAGTTGAATAAAAATGTACCTGTTGTTTTAATAATTTCACGAAATTAAGGAGAACGTATTAACAACTCTTGAATTCTTCTAAGATCGCAATTGTTTAGGATTTTGCCTAAGAGAGAATTTTAGCATAAATGTTGACATTTATTTCTTTTCTAGATAAATCTAACGAGCTGCTAATGCGGCAATAATATTTTCGAATTGTTTAAACGTTCTCGTTTGTGCGATTAAGGGAGGACAAATCGGATTATAGCAAGTTCTCCCTAATTGACTGTGCCTAATTGTCCCTGATTGATCCTCCCCCTCGAATTCTGCACAAAACTGGACAATTTCGGAAGAAGAAGTACGATTAATCGAGCCTCTCGTTTTTAAAGAGAGAGAAATAAATTTTCATACGCGAAGTTTCCATTTCGATAGAAATTCAAGAGATATTCTTCGTCAACTATGGAAAACTTATACGATTCTCTATACAGTAAATTCTCCCCAATTTTCCTTCAGCTTGTAAACAAAAATTATAAACAATTTGAGAAGAGAAGATACGATTAATTGAGCCTTGCATCTCGTTTTTATATAATAGAGAGAAAAATAAATCGTTATTCTATAATAAAGGAATATATAAAGATTCCATTTCGATAGAAATGCAAGAGATATTCTTCGTCAACTATGGAAAACTTATCAGCTAAACTTGCCAACAACTATAAAAACGAGTCGCAAGGCTAGTATAATCACACCTAATTTTCCCAAATTGTCCATTGTTTGTTTCTAAACTGAGCGTCAATTAGGGAGAATTTATCGTACAACTATAGAAAATATAGTAAATTCTCCCTAATTGATACTCTCCCTAATTTTATCGTACAACGAAAATACAGTAATTACTCCCCAATTTTCCTCAAGTTTGTACACAAAAATGGTCAATTTGCGCCTCGTTTTTCTAATCATAAACAATCGGCGATTACAAAAATGAGCCGCAAAGTTGGAATAATTGCACCTGCGCTTCTCAAATTATCCAATTTTGTTTCCAAACTGAGCGTCAATTAGGGAGAATTCACTGTACAACGAAAACACAGTAAATTCTCCTCAATCGACGCTCTCCCAAATTTACCATACAACGAAAACTCAGTAATTTCTCCCCAATTTTCCTCCACTTTGTACAAAAAAAAAAAATTGGACAACTTGCACCCCGCTTCTCCAATCATTAACAATCGGCAACCATAAAACCGAGCCTCAAGTCTCGAACAATCGCATCCCCTCTCCCCAAGTAACCTCATCTTCCCCCCAAACCTCGCGTCAATAACAGAAACTTCCCTGCATTTCCGCGAAACTGACATCCAACAATGGCCGACAGTCGTTTTCGGCTCTCGCGAGCCTCGCGGCGCATGCAACGCAAAATCCCCCAAAACCACGGCATCTCGCGAATCCTCCGCGAAAATATCCGGAAAACTCACGTCGTTAGCCTGTTCAGCATCCGTCGCGACATTGCGATCGAGAGACAGGCTGCGCCTATTCCCGCGCAGTTCCCTCGGCTCCTCCTTCGCCCTCGGCTCCAAATGACTCTGCGTGCCCCCCAGGGAACCTGGAAGTAAATTTCGATCAGGCGAGGCGCCGCGGGCAGGGCAAAGGTCGCGGCGCTTCCTCGCACATTCGCAGGCCGCCTCGTTGGACAACGAAACTGTGGAGGTTCTGCTGAACGAAGTGCCCGCGTCGGAGACGTCGTCGACGTAGAACGAAGGGCTGCTGCTGCCCGAGTTGCCGGCCTCGATCTCTGGAACGCTGAGAAACCGCGCGGTCGGCGTGATCGGCGAGGTCGGGGCGGTCGCGTTTTCCGCGGCCTCCGCTGCGTCGTTCGCGTAAGCCCTCTCCCACTTGAACGCGGCTTTCACCCTGGTCCACTTGGAGACCTTGGGCGCGTCCTTCGAGCCCTCGTCCCCGGAGCTCTGCTTCTGAAAGTCGAACCTCCCTCTGGCCCTCCTCGAAGCCGATACTCTGACGTTGCGTCTCTGGAACGGCGGTTCCCTGCAGTTCGATATCATAGCATTCAGCAGAGAATCCGCGAAACCTGTGTCCTCCTCGCAGAAGTCGCCGGCGTCCTCGTAATCGGCCGCGAAGACGTCCTCCAGCGCGCGGTTCGCGTTCCGCAGCACCTTCAGCTTCTCCAGGTTGCGGACGCGTTTGAAGAACGTCGAGGTGCGGTGCCGCAGCTCCAGGATCTGCTCCGTCAACGAGTACAGTCTGTTCAGGTGCTCGAAAGCCTCCTCGAGGCACAGATTCGGCACGGTTATCGTCGACGCGGTCGAGTTCCTCGACGGACAATCCGACGCTTGGCTGTCCGAGGGCGGAGTCTCCAGGTCCGCGAAGAACGCCAGCATGTCCTCGTCCTCGTCCAGGCTTCTAGGCTGCTGCTGCTGCACGTTCCGCAGGTACCATTGACTCAGCCAGGGGTCCAACGGCGGTGTCGGCAGCCGGGTCTCGTCGAGCCTGTCCCTCGGTCTTTGGGGCGCCCTTTGTTCGCGACCGGGCGGCCGCTCGGCCTCTCTCGCCGCCCTTTGGTCCAGACCGCCTCGCTCGTTGCCGGCCATTTCCGGGCCTGTCACCTCGAACTCGCGGCAAATTTGTTGATTAACAATCACACGTGCGGCTCGCGCGGTTGCGTAAGTTTATAAATAGCGCGCCTCGCGCGGCATAGCACGCGGACAAGAATTTCGGGCGGCGGACCGACGAGCCGAACGAACTTGCTTTGGAACACACTGGCCACCGGGCGGGCCTCTCTGGTCGCACTTTTTGCTCGCACTTCGTCCTTCGTCGTCGTCTTCGGGGCACTCGTGGCACTGGTTCGAGCAAGGTGGATTCTGTTAGGATGAACGGCGGTGTCGCTGGTCAACGCTGGGACCACGGAAAGTGGTGTAGCGAGCGTTCCCGTGGCTCACCGTTCCGCGCGCATTTTTCGTTCGGTTCGACGGCTCGGAGAGAGTCGCGGAAGAAGTGGGTCCGAATTCGTATCGGCGTCCTCGCATGATTATTTTCGGTAGTGAGCATTCGGCGTTCGTATTTACGACGGACGCGAGCGCGTTATTCTTGAGACGAGGCGTTCCGCGAGCGGAGAGCATGCGCGTGCGAGCGAGCGAGCGCCGGTCGAATGGAAGAGCGGATGAGCTTCCTGTTCTCGTCGAAAATAGACGGCGAACAGACGGCGGACGAATACTCGCAAATGCCCGCCTTCGGACTGTATTTATACGCCGACGAATGCCCGACACACGCGCCAACGCGATCACTTTGTTCCGTTTTTATTTCGGACGAACTATGCGAAAACTTTCGGCGAGGACTGCGCGCGAGCCGCGGCGCTCCGGTCCCTTTCAACCCCCTGTCGGGACCGTTGTCTTTGCGGACGCGGCGATTAGCCGAACGCGGGGCTCGCGCGATTGCGGGAAAAATTACGGTGAATTCTCTAAAATTGTCTCTCGCGGCTTGTAAACGAAAGAGGGGGGGGGGGGAAGATTCAAGAAGAGGAGATGCGATTGTTCGACGAGCCTCGGGATTTGCACGGTGGACGCTTCGATTGAGCCCTATCGAGCCCTAGAAATGGCTAATTAGGATCAATTTGTAGCGGTGAAAAGACTGTATTTATTTAGACCCAATCGCTATTTTTATCATAACTTGTGCATGGTTTAAACAATTTGTTTTAAGCGTCGCCTACGAATGTAATGTTTAATTGAGTGTTTAGCTGCACGTTTATTAAAGCGCAGTGCAGTATTTTCAATGAATTTTCAGTGAAACGTTAATAAATCTCTAGTAATTTTTAATCGAAGCTTGTTGAAGTTTTACAGTTCCTTTATTTGTTTTGCAAACTCGAATTGTATGGATTGGTTTTTAAGTAAACTGTGAGAATTTATTTGATGTGCGAAAGCTTTTGCGAAATCATTTTTTAAAAGTACAATTATGTATGATTTTTGTACGATTTTAATAAGACACAATAAAGTTTATCAAAAAAAAAGAAATACGACCATATAATTTATTTACGATATTTAAATATGAAAAGCCTATTTGCAGATTACAGACGTGTAATCTTTGTCGATTCCTACTGGCATTAGTTCGCACCTTTTTTAGGGATGTGTCTACGTTATTATTAGCAGCAGACTCTGCTGAACAATTCCGTTGTTTTGGTTTATTTTTTAATGCTCTCATTTTGCCATAATTAATGTTTTTCGGAGGCCCTGCATTCTACTTTTGTGAGCGACTACTAGCGCCTCTCGCGGAGAAAGGCTGAAGCTTCTTTCGGGATACGTACAGCGCCAATTAGTCCAGTGGCAAAACGCTCAAACTGTTAGCCAAAAGCGACTAACGGTAATATGGCGAGTTTCGGCCTTTCTCCGCAAGAGGCGCCAGTAGTCGGTCACACGAGTAGAATGCAGGGCTTTCAAGAAACATTAATTACGGCAAAATTGGAGCATTAAAAGGTAAACCAAGATAGCAGAATTGTTCAGGAGAATCTACTGTTAATGAAAACGTGTGATATTTCCAAAAAAGATGCGAATTAATGTCAATAGGGGTTCACAAAGATTATATATCTATAACATATAAATATATGTTGCGGCGTTCACGTCTGCCTTATTGTTTACTTCAAATCGATGCAGCAGATTCTCCTGAACAGTTCTGTGTGCTTAGTTTATTGTTTTATGCCTTAATTTGTTAATAATCAATGTTTTCCGGCGACCCTGTATTCTGCATACGTGGGCGATAGCAGCGCCTCTAGCGGAGAACGACCGAAGCTTCTTTCGAAGTCCGTACAGCGCCAACTGATGCAGCGGCAAAACGCTCAAACTGTTCGCCATATTACCGTTAGTCGACTTTGGCTAACAGTTTGAGCGTTTTGCCACTGGACCAATTGGCGCTGTACGGATCTCGAAAGAAGCTTCGGTCGTTCTCCGCAAGAGGCGCTGCTATCGTCCACCTATGCGGAATACAGGGTCACCGGAAAACATTAATTATTACTAAATTAAGGCATAAAACAATAAATTAAGCATACAGAACTGTTCAGGAGAATCTGCTGCATCGATATCAGGTGAAGAAAAGAACACACATCAACGCCAAAAAATATAATTAATTAATAAAGTAGCTGCACAGACGAGGTATCAGAGTAGACTGGATATATTTTGAAATACAATATCGCTAATTTCTTTTTTATTAAAAAGTATGAAGGCTTGAATCCACTCGGATCCATTAGCCACATATACATGCATAAAATATCTGCATTTTATTTTAATTTGTACACTGTTTATAGTACATTAAGAATCTTATAATTAATATACACTTTTAACGTCGTTTAAATCACAGTATTCATTTAGGATTTGTAGCAATTAAAAAGCAGAGGTTTTCTCGCGTCTTCTGCCTAAATAAAACGGTCAACAAGTAAATTAGATGCCTCGCTTTTTCGTGGCTACCCTGACGAGACTTTTCAGATCCTTGTTTGCAAATTACAGATATCCTAATTGTTTATGAAATCCTGACTTGACGCGGAATTATTAAATAAATTAAATTGCTGTTCAATTCCTGCCTTTCAAATCAAGCGTGTCGTAATGCAAATGAGATATACAGAATGTATTCAATTATCTCCTGTTTATATTCCGCCGTTTGATGGCGCCACCAAACAGTTTACCACGTCGTTCTTGATATTTAGTTAATTTCCCTAATAAACTCGCTTGTTTTCGAGATATTTTGCAGCGCATCAACAGAGTAGACACCACTGCACATTCCTACGCATTTGAAATACACAATTTCGTTTTAATTATTCCATATTTTGTTGTTCCAGATTCACGTATCTTCCCCAGAAAAGTGTTTCAGTACGAGAGCGCCTGTCGCTGCGCGGTTGCCGCGTCTCCGTGGCCCGCGGCATGCCCTCTAAAAAAGAAACCACGATTAAAACAATCTGTAACATAATTTCAATGCGCAGAATCGACTTCAAGTCACCAGTCCCCTCGACCGTAAAATCGCATCCAGCAGGACGCCTTAATTTCAAGGATCGCCGGAAGAGATCTGGCAACGTGGCACGAGGGGCCTGATAAGAAAAAAGAAAAGAGACTAGAAGGAGACTCTCAGCCGTCCGATCTCGCATTGTTCTCGAAAATAACCCGCCCCGACGACGATTCGGATGAACCTAATCATGAAGAACGAGCCGTTCTTATCCCGAGCCGCAATCGCTCTCGAAAACGTCGCTCCGGCGTCGCGCTCGCGTGACAAACGTGTCTCGAAATGCGCGAATCGGGCGACCCATCGGCGCGTAGAGCCCTCGGAAAGGGCCGGCGCGGGTCAACGTCGCTGAATAATGGAGGGCAACTTCTCCGAAGATGGTTCCGGCGGAGTCGAGTGTCTCATCTTCCTCGTAAATAATCTCCACGGCCCCGTGACCGTAACGGCAACAGCAACGCTGCCCTTTATGGGAGAGGACCATCTATTTTATCGAGCTCCAACGCGTTCCATCGCGTCGACGATGAGGAAACCATGGACACGGCTGCACCCGGCGGAAACATCGGAACTGAATTTTTCACGTCGACGCTAGGTGATCGAAGAAACATCGTTCCGAGACCTTTCGTCGAAGAGCGGAGAGTAAATGGGAGAAGGAGAGGAGAGCATGAGAGTGAGAGAGAGGGGGTTACGATCCGCCGGCAACCCGAGGATCTCATTACGAAGGGAATAGCGAGCGGACGAGCAGCGGATTCAATTTGTATCGGCGGCCGACGAGGAGAAAAGACGCGGCGCGCCGTTGGATTCCTGCGATCGGATTGCAGCTTCCGCTTCGGTCGCCGGCAGGCCGGGGCACACACGCGCCCCGGACAAGTGGATTGCCACGGCGGAACGAACATCGCCGAAGCGGCCTAATGAACCTGCAACGGAAACTGCCATGCAGATGCGAGCAGAAACCTTGGATAAATTGGCGGCGGCAATACCAAGCGGCTCCTCCGAACGGCCGACGAGGCAGCGGCGCAACACACTGAGGGCACCCCGCCGCCGTTAAAGATGGCCGACCCACTTGCGACCTCCATCAAACGGAAACAAGCATCCCTTCAAACTGAATGAGGTTTATTGCGACGACATCAGCGACTCCCGCAACTCTGCTGCGAGCTCATCGTCGGACAAACGCGGGAAATTGCTGCGAAATAGTTTTTCTTCTAGAGTATCTAGTGCGAAATAAATAATTGATTGTTTCGTTAATTATTTCCGGATGAATTCTGAAGGGTAATTTGTTGCAATTGATTGCGGGAAATTCTATTCAATTGTTCTTCGGCGAGGCTCGAATAATCGTATCTTCTCTTCCCAAATTGTCCATTTTTGTTTATTAGTTGTTTATTAATTGAAGGACAATTGGGGAGAATTTACTGTAATTACTAAATAGCGGATTTTATGCATTTATGGCAAAAATATTTTATTATTATATTATATATGTTATTATATTATTATTTCATTTATATAATATATTATATATACATACATTATTATTGTATTATTATTTCATTTATATAATATATTATACATACATATATTATTATTATATTATTATTGGGACAATTGGGGAGAATTTACTGTAATTACTAAATAGCGGATTTTATGCATTTATGGCAAAAATGGGTAGTTGAAATGTATACAAAAAATATATAATATATGTAATGTAATATATTATACGTACATATATTATTATTATATTATTATTTCATTTATATAATATATTATACATACATATATTATTATTGTATTATTATTTCATTTATATAATATATTATACATACATATATATTATTATTATATTATTATTGGGACAATTGGGGAGAATTTACTATAATTACTAAATGGCGGATTTTATGCATTTATGGCAAAAATGAGTAGTTGAAATGTATAAAAAAAATATATAATATATATAATGTAATATATTATACATACATATATTATTATTATATTATTATTTCATTTATATAATATATATATATAGAATAATATAAGTACATATAATATATATAAAATATATAAATATATATAAATATATGAAGAATTGTGAAGCTATAAAAATAATTCAATGATATCGTAACGCTGCCGTCGAGTTAACAGAATCATTAGACGAACCGATTTATTCTAATTTCGCTTCCATTTCCTGCAATCGACGCAGCAAATTTTTATTTCGCGCGAAGATCCGCGTAATCGCGTAGCTCAAACGAAGATCCTTTTGACACTTACGGAGACAAAGGCGCACCGGCTGGATTCCATTACACTTGGCAAACCGTTTGCAAGCGAAGCCCATCTTAATCCGAGCGGTGTAAACGAAATTCGGACGGATTTCCGGCGTATTCATCGTAATCGGTTACAATAATCGGCCGGCGCCGAT